AAAAGTGTGACAAATGCATTTTAGCTAGTGAAAAGCATGATGAACAAAAAATATGAATGAAAATAAATATATGAATTTATATATATTTTTCATTCAGGTATGAAAAATTAGATAAATGAGTATATTTGGAGTATTGAAATACGTAGCCTTCAGCTTTCCATTAGTGATTGTAGACTTCATACCTCTATGTTGGTTTCTCAAAGATTTCTCCTCTAATATATGATGAAAAATTTAGTACAGAGAAGATATGGCAGAGCTAGATACAGTTCAGAATTAGTGAAAGAATTGATTTTCTTACTTTTTTCTTCCTCATTGTGGTAATTCTTTTACCTTTATGACCCATCTCTAGAGGATTGTGAATTCCAACCTAATTTTTCTACACTATTCAGTAACTCTTTCCTAGGCTGCTTTTTTGTATTGTCTAGACTTTTGTGCTCAGAAATTATCAACAAAGCAAATTTAGAGGGTTAGTCTGGTACATAATTAAATATCTTATGCATTTTAACCAAATAGTAATAACTTTAGGATAGTTCAGTGTTTGGTTTACTACTCTTGTTTTCTGCATTCCTGTAGTATGACATATTTTTAGCCTATTCCTTGTTTCATAGTCTGTTCTTCTTTATTCCAAATTGAGTTCTGATGCCAACTACATTTGCATTATAGCACATATCACCTTTAGCCTAAAAATTACTTGGATTCTCACCATTTCTGCTCTCAAATTGAATCAGTCATCCATCTGTCCATCTATTCATTCAACACACATGGTGAACAAGACACAGTGCCTGCCTTCAAGGGACCTAGTCTAAAAAGAGTGGTCAGACAAGTACACAGGTAGCAGAGTACAGGGAGGTAATTGCTGGCAGAGGGCTAAGTTCCAAGAGTTTTGAGAGGCTATAAGAGGGTCACCAACCTAGTCTTGAGGATTTTTTGAGAAGAGAAAGAACCAAGCTGAGGTTTGAGGAAGTGTTCGAAACTAAGCAAGATGGGAGGCAGAGAATGCATGTCCTGGGCACCAGAAATGACATTTGAAAATATCTAAGAGGGAAGAAAGTGTCTTTAAACATTGATTGGAAAAGCAAATTGCAAGGAAGGAGATAGTTAGTTACTCTCAAGTCTGAGGAGGTTCCTTTTCTTCTTGATTCTGGATCTCAACAGGATTTTCAAGTTGTACAAACTGATATTTGAATCCTTACTGTGCCTTTCCTAATCACTGTAGCAGGCCTCACCTTCCATTCCCCACCCCCCTTTGCACTTTATTTTTCTCTAAAATATGTATTACCATGTGACGTACTTTATATTTTATTTGTATATCTGTTCATTGCTTGGTCCTGTCCCAATTGTAAACTGAATGTGAGCTGGGATTTTTTTGGATTGTTTTATTCCCCACTATAGCCTCTGAAACAGCATTTAGCAGAAAGTAGATGTTCAGTACATTTTTGTTGAAGAAGTAAGTCCTGGTTTCTTCCCATCTATTACTTGGTGATATGACTTTTGGCAATTTACTTAACCTCTCAAAGCCTTGATTTCCTCATTGGTTAATTAGGAATAATATCTGCCTAATGAGGAGTAAATGAGATAATTTGTGTAAAATAATCAACATAATAAGACTAAGGGCCCGGTGCATGAAATTCGTGCACTGGGTGTGGTTGGGTGGGGGGGAGTGTCCCTCAGCCCAGCCTGCCCCCTCTCACATACTGGGAGCCCTCAGGCGTTGACCCCCATCACCCTCCAATTGCAGGATCGGCCCCTTGCCCAGGCCTGACGCCTCTCACAGAGGCGTCAGGCCTGGGCAGGGGACCCTCATTTCCCCCCATCACTGGTTCTGACCCCAGCCCAGGCCTGATGCCTCTGGCCCAGGCATTAGGCCTGGGCAGGGGACCCCCAGACCCCTCTGATTGCTGGCTCTGCCTCTGGCCCAGGCCTGATGCCTCTGACCCAGGATTCAGGCCTGGGCAAGGGGACCATCATATCCCCCCAATCCCCAGCTCCGCCCCCCACCCAG